GACTTAAAAGAGGGTGATTTATAAATGGAAGTGTTTTTGTTTGTATGTCATATAGGTCAGGTCCCTCCAAAAGATGGACTCTGAAGTGTAAATGAGATGAGAGCTAGTGAGTGGGAAAGAGAAGGGGGGGAGGGAGGGAGAGAAAAAGAGGGGGGAATATTTTTAGGCTTTGGGCAGCAGGTCTCTTATTTCTATTGGATCATACAATGCCCTTTAAATTACTGACACAGTGGTTCAGAGGGAGCTCTTGTCCATTGGTCAACATTGTCTACTCCTCTTTCTATGGGTGTATGTATGGACTAGCAAGCATCCTGTTAGCATTCAAAATGGATGGGGCAGAAAAAATCCTCAATGTGAATGAGAGGAAGGCTCTTAAAAGTATAGTATTATACCCAATTATCTATTCCAACCTGGTTAACATGAGATGAAAGGGTGGGTGTATGTGACTCAGGGCACCAGATGTGTTTGCTACAGCTACCTAATAAATCATGTACTCTGTAAATTCTTCCAGTTGAAATAAACAAAGAATCCTAATGAACCATCTGCATCTCCAAGTCCTTGGGGGCCACCTAATAGGTGTCTTAGCAAATGCTTAGTGAATAAAAATATAAATGGTTACTTCATAAAGTTCAGGTAAAAGAAACATCTTGCCCTTTATATCTGAGAATGAAATAATTGACAAATCATTTTATCCCTGTGTATTAATATAGAAACATGAGGGGATTGTTTTTGTAGAACCAGGAAGAATTTGTTAAAAGGAAACATGGGTTGTACAATAATTAGAGGGCAAATTATATTAACTTGGAAGTTATGAGGTAGTGATGGATATAATATTTAGGTCACCTTAAAGTAAGTATAGGAAATCGAGTCTATCTTTCTGTCTGTCTGTCTATCTATCTATCCATCTATCCACTTATCCACACATGTATACATACTGTCATGTTTTATATATAACGTGTCCTCCATATAGACTTACGTTTGAACACTCAGTTACTAGTATGATGGTTAATCTCAACTGGTTAATATCTAATCAAAATGACTTGAATAGATATAGAACCACCTGGGAGGCCAGTCTTAGGACCTGGCTGTTGGGATTATCCCAGTTAAGTTCCTTGATGGGGAATACCCACACACTGTGGTCAGCTCTGTTCTCTGGGGTAGGCCCCGAACTGCACGAGAAGGAGAAAGTGAGCTGAGTGCAAGCATTCATCTTCTGCTTCCTGACTATGGATGCAGCATGGCCAGCTCTTCTAGCTCCTGCTGCCTTGACTTTCCCACCACAAGGAACCATACCTCAGTAGTGTGTGTGTGTGTGTGTGTGTGTGTGTGTGTGTGTGTGTGTTTTAGTTAAGGGTTCTGTTGCTGTGAGGAAACATTATGACCACAAAGCAAGGTGGGGGGGGGTCTATTTATCTTACACTCCCACATCACTGTTCATCATCTAAGGAAGTCAGGATTGGAACTCAAGCAGGGCAGGAACCTGGAGGCAGGAGCTGATGCAGTGGCCATGGAGGGGTACTGCATACTAGCTTGCTTTCCATGGCTTGCTCAATCTGCTTTTTTTGTAGAACCCAGGATCACCAGCCCAGGGATGGCACCACCCACAATGGGCTGGGCCTTCCCACATCAGTCACTAAGGAAATTCCCTATAGGGTAATCTTACAGAATTTTCTTAACTGAGGTTACATCTTCTCAGATGACGTTAGCTTGTGTAAAGTTGACATAAAACTACTCAGAACACTATGAGACAGAATAAATTATTTTTCCTTTAAGTCATTTTAGTCAAGGTATTTTATCACAGCAAGAGGGAGAGAAACTAAGACATCAGTGTTGGTGGCATTGTATTGGAAGGCATGGAAGAAAGTGGAGGTCTATCCAGAGTAAGCAGGCTGCTAGAAGCAGGGCCTTGAGGCTTAAACCTGTTCCCATACTTCGGTTTATCCTCTGCTTATTGTCCTGCTGACATGTGAGGATCCCCATCTGCACATTCCTGCTTCATAGAGTTGTCTGCCACCGTGCCTTCTGCACAGTCATGGACTGTGTCTCCTCAAACCACGAGCCAAAATAAATTCTTCCTTCTTTACGTTGCTTCTGCAAATTATTTGGTCCCAATGATGAGACAAGTAATATAGACTATTGGTACCAAACCCGACCGTGTGGTTCTTATGTCTTTTGAACTGGTTTGCAGGAGAAATGTGTAAGGCTTTAGAGCCAATATCTTGTATTTTGGCAAAGAATCTGGCTATGTCTGCCCACGTCCTGAAGACTTGGGTGGGGCTGAACTAAAAAGTCTTGGACTAAGTAGCATTTGGACTTTGGCATGGTTTCTGCCCACTGCTTCCAGCTGTATTTACAGTAGGGAATAGCCGAGCCATGGGAAAGCTTGCAGTTTGATGAAGATCATGATAAAGCTTGAAGCTGTGGGCAAGGCTGTTGTGGACAAAGCATCTGTCATTTCTAAGGAGATTACTGATATTAAAGAGAAGCCATGGGTTTTACACTGGGACATCGGGAAAGGTGTCTTGAGGGGAGAACTCTATCTGCTGAGAGTTACATGGTGCAACAGTGCAGATTCATTTAAAAGGAGAGTGAAAAGGTAGACTTCAGGGTACCCTTCTAGAAAGCGACTGCCTCTCAGAGTGTTTCCCAGGTTAAGCCAGCAAGGTACAGAGAGGCCTCTGTAGCTGCCATCCAAGGTGGACAGGCTGTATGTCAAGCAGGCAGTGACCTTGGCAGTGTCACCGACAGGTGCTGGTTTTACAGACACTCAAAATACAAGAGTTACAAAGGCTTGCGCTAGCGTTCTAGAAAACCACTGTGGCCAGGCAACGAGAAAAGGGTTGTAGAGAAACAAACAAGCCCTAGTTAGTCAAAGAGCAAAAAGCTATCTGCTGCTTCTAGAAGTCTCACATGGTGGAGGAGACAAACACCATCATGGAGAGCCTGCCAAAAGTCATAGAAAAACTCCCACGCTTTTCTTTCCCCCTGGAGTCTTGCTATGTATCCCAGGCTCACCTCGAACTTGTGATGGCCCTCCTGCCTCCACCTCCCAAGTGCAGGGATCAAAGGCATGCACCACTGTCTTGGCATTTCCGGGCCTTTGAATGAGCCTTCTGCAGCGCTCTTGCTGATGACAGCTCCCTGCTCACACGGTCTTGAAGATATCCTCCAATTATTTCAGCTCATGTCTGGATCAGGATTTCCCAGTTGTTAAGCAGAAGGAAGTAACATATCTTTGGAGAAACATGGAAACCTCCAGAGTGGTCTGCAATCATTTGTTCATAAGGTCAACGTCCAATATGGAATTGTTATATATGTCAGGAAATGGGCAAATGACAGAAACCAAGAGGGGAAAAATCAGCAATATGGGTTAGATTCATTTTTTTCTTTTCTCTTGAAAACTACATACATGTATGCAACAGAATATGATTGTATCTAGCCCCCATTTTCTCCCCCCAACTCCCTTCATATCCCTCCAACACATCCCCCTTCCA